AACGGTACCTACATCGCGGGAACGGAAATACCTCGGATCGAAAGACAGAGTCCAAAGACGTGGACCTGACTGGACTTCACCCCACGAAAGGCTTAACAACTACCTTGTGAACCCAATAGGTTCCGAGGCAAGTGCCCAGCTAGGCCTGATGAACCTGTGGGCCCTGGCCAGAGCAGGTTTGGCCGACTAGGAACCTGACCGCTCTGGCCAGGACCACCAGAATATGGATCTCACCCTCCGGAAATGGACGGTCTGAAGTGGAGTCGAATACGGCACATGAACCCTCAATAACTTCCACGCGAACCCAATTGGTTCCAAGGAAGGTACCCAACAGGTCGCCAGAAAGCTAGCGGAGCCTGATCCCCCACGGACGACTAAGGCAGAACTTGGACCTCGTCGTCAGTAGAGGATAACCAAACCGGCAACCCTCGGACTACCGTAGTTCTGGAAGAGAAGCCTCCTAAACCACGCTAGTCCGGACCTTAGTACGAAAGACGGTTTGTCGGCGCAATACAGCACCACCAGCCGTATTGCACCGATAATCCACTCCGGCAGAAGGACCCTTGGAGGATGCAAGCCATCGCAGATCGCGTATAACCACGATTTCTACCTCACCCACCGAGGAACGGACCAGCATGGATTCCGTCTTTAAAGCTTAGAGTGTCTACCTCGTGGCTTAGACCCAATTAGGTCTTATACAGCCGCAGAGGAGCCTCTTTTTGCATGATTTTTGCTAGTCACCCGGTGGACATCTCCAGCATCAAGCGGACTTTCACCAGAGCATGTTGGGCCATTCTCGTCACCGAGGCTCGGACCCTGTCCAGAGGCATTAACTCGCTCCATGTTACCCAATAGGCGACAAGAAATGATGTTAAAAAGGTTTTTTTGCCCGGGCAGAATGCCTTAGGACCAGCCTTACCAGATGCTGACTACCTCACCACCGAGACTACCCCGGACACGGAGGCCGCCCGGGGTAGCAAGTTCATCTTATCGGTGAGACCCTCGGTAGAGTTGCCCAATAGGCGACTTACACCGTCAATAAGGGTTTCGCCGGGATGAAGCGACCATCAGACCGTCAACCGCGATCTACTAGCCAACTGAGGCTAGCTTGGATACCGTGGCTACCCACTCTCGGACTTCAATCTCAAAGTCCGGAACCCACCCTTCAAGTGTTACACAATAGGTAATCAGACAGGGATTTGGGATTTCTGACCGGACAGAACACCCAGCACATCGCGTAACCACGATCTGCCAGCACAGCCGAGGGTACATCGGGACTTTAACTCGAGTACCGAGGCTGCCTCGACCCTTCGAACCTCGGCGAATATCCTCTCCGAGTTACCCAATAGGTGACAGGGGACGAACTTAGGATTTTCAGCCGAGCGGAACATCAGCTTACTGTTTTTACTAAACGCTTAAACATTTTAGAAGAAAGCAAATTATTCACGAAGGAATTCAGGTTAAGTAGCGAGAAATCTAGTGCCTTAGTGACGGTTTTTGAATTTCTAAAAGATTAAATGAGCCTTTCAAGGCACCCGTTTGAGGGCGAAGGTTAAAATTAATATTTTGTTCATGTGGCCTTTTTTCTGTTTGAATAACAAATTGAACAAAAATATGCTTCTCAACTACACACAGCTGCAAAATGGGGGTCATTCTTAATGTTGTCTGTGTATTAACTTCAAAAACGTCTAAAAAGAGAATGCGCTAAGGAAAACGATCGGTTAAAAGTTAGAGCGATTAAGAAGTTAGTCTGAACCTCGAACTCGTTAGGCAGTTGCCGTTGGCTAGCTGATGCCACTCCTAGAGAATTTCTTGATCACTACCGATTAAGAGGTTGGCTGCTCAAGAAAGTTTGCGAAGTTTCTTTGATCACTCCGTTAGCAGAGCGATTAAAAAGACGAGCGATCAAGAACTTTCCTGGCTCAATTTTCGCATTCCTCTGTAAATGTCGCTCGCTTGTGTAGCAGATACAGCGTACGCTGTATCTACACACAATGTGGTTATTTAAAACCGTGTGTGGTCATGCTTATGTAAGACCGTGCATGGTCATGCTTTGTCAGCAAGTAGTGAAGTAGCCGCCGGCATCGTGTAGAGTCTTCTAGATTGTTCTAGATGCTGTGTTGTCATCCTGTTGTCTGTGAAGTATAAGATGCGCGGTAGGCGCCATGTGTAAAGGGACAGATCTGGCATAAAGGTTTAGAGCGCAGTTCGGTCGACATGTAAGTATATTTGTATAGCGTATATCACGAGGCAGGTCGCCTACACTTGCTTGCCATTAGGCCTGCTAAGACCCTATCCTGGTAACTAGTACACGTCTCAGCAGCCCTAAAAGCAAGCAAGCGAGCGAGATTTAAGCGACCCCCATTTTGCAGCTGTGTGTAGTTGAAAAGAATATTTTTGTTCAATATGCCAACCCAGCACTGGATACAGGGAGCGATGCTTGATCCCAGATGACACCGTCAATCTTAACATTCGTTACCGCTTGTATTGCCGATTCGGTAACGTTATAAAGTTTATCAAGTTCGTCTCCGCACAACCAAGTTTGACTCGTTCGTGATTGATAGTTCATTTTAAGGACGCCAATACAAGTGCGCAGCAGAAAATAAGCCTGATGAGCAGGCAGTATACTTAGCTTGGATGCTTAGTCTTCGCAGATCCAGGGACTTCTGAAGAATGGCTTCAGGAATGGCATAATGCAAAAGAGGAGCACCAAGCAGCCAGTGTACGGTTATTCACACGATGTTACTCATGTTGCACACCCATCCCTCTGTTTTACACCAACCTTGAAGGAGAAGTATTTATTCAGAAGTTTAGTCAGTCTGGCTGTTTTTCTTTTACTGTTTTACCGTTTTGTGATTACATAATGAAATCTTTTGGCTATGGCTATTTTGCCGCAGTATAACAATAGGGTTCTGAACAGCCCTCAGGCTATTTTGCCGCACATTGCGCCGGAATAGCCATTTTGCCGCTATATGGTGGGAGAAATAGCCTGTTGGCTATTTTACCGCACACTGCGTTGAAACAGCTCGTTAGCTATTTTGCCCCACTATGGACGGGAACAGGATAATGAACGATTTGTTTCTCAATATGTATAAGGCGAGCTTCGCTCAACTAATATGATCAAATGAAGAATTTGTCCCAATAAACATAGGAAGGGACTGTGCACGGTTGGGTATGAGTAGCCTTCGCCTTCGCCTTCTGCCTTCTCCTCCGCCTTCGCCTTTTGAGCGGTACGCATTCGCCTTCGCCTTCCAAAACATGCGCGTTCTAATTGACTTTTTATGTTATTCTGAGGTTTATAAGATTCTTAGGTTTCTTAAGTTTCTCAAGTTTCTTAGATTTCTCAAGTTTCTCAGGTTTCTCAGGTTTCTCAGGTTTCTTAGATTTCTTAGATTCTTAGGTTTCTCAGGTTTCTTAGGTTTTTCAGGTTCTGTGGTTTCTCAGGTTTCTTATGTTTCAAAAGTTTTCTTTGAATGACTTTGTCTTAGGTTTCGTAGGTTTCTCAGGTTTCTTAGGTTTCTTAGGTTTTTCAGGTTTCTCTGGTTTTTTTGGTTATTCTTAGGTTTCTTAGGTTATTCTTGGGTATTCCTTAGGTTTTTAGGTTTCTCATGTTTCTTATGTTTCTTAGGTTTCCTATGATTTCTTAGGTTTCTTATGTTTCTTAGGTTTCCAAAGTTTTCTTCGAATGATTTCGCCTTAGGTTTCTTCATTTCTTAGGTTTCTTAGGTTTCTTAGGTTTCTTAGGTTTCTTAAGTTTTTTAGGGATTTCAGATTTTTCAGGTTTCTCAGATTTCTTAATTTTCTAAGGTTTCTTAGGTTTCTCGGTTGTCTTAAGGTTTCTTAAGTTTCTCAGGTTTCTCTGGTTTCTCAGGTTATTCGTAGGTTATTGTTAGGTTATTATTATGTTTCTTAGGTTTCTTAGGTTTCTCAAGTTTTCCAGGTTTTCAGGTATTTCAGGTTTCTCAGGTTTCTTATGTTTATTAGGTTTCTTAGGTTTCCTATGATTTCTTAGGTTTCTTATGCTTCTTAGGTTTCCAAAGTTTTCTTCGAATGATTTCGCCTTAGGTTTCTTCATTTCTTAGGTTTCTTAGGTTTCTTAGGTTTCTTAAGTTTTTTAGGGATTTCAGATTTTTCAGGTTTCTCAGATTTCTTAATTTTCTAAGGTTTCTTAGGTTTCTCGGTTGTCTTAAGGTTTCTTAGGTTTCTTAAGTTTCTCAAGTTTTTCAGGTTTTCAGGTATTTCAGGTTTCTCAGGTTTCTTATGTTTATTAGGTTTCTTAGGTTTCTCAGGTTTTTCAGGTTTCTTAGGGTTCTGAGGTTCTTAGGTTCTTATTTTTCTTAGATTTGTTAGGTCTTTCAGGTTTCTTTGGGTTCTCAGGTTCTTAGGTTCTTTTATTGATATTGATTTTATCATTCATAGAATGTTCATAGCTTTTTTAGGTTTCTGGGTTTCTTATGTTTCTTTTGTTTTTTAGGTTTCTCAGGTTTCTTAGATTTTTTAGGTTATTCTTAGGTTTCTCTTAGGTTTCTTACGTTTCCAAAGTTTTCTTTGAATGATTTTTCTTAGGTTTTTTCACGCCTAACGTAAGATATCAAAGATAACGGACTTTGTGAGTTATGCAATTGCGAACATGTTAACCGATCCCGGCGCGATTGTCAAAGTGCACAAATATTTTTAATCAGCTGAAAAGGCATTGGGGAAGAGCAAGGGCAAGGGGAAGAATGATTTCAGAGCATTTAGACAAATCTCAGAAGTCTAGAAAATCCACGTTAGAACTGGATAAACTGGTCGTCTCGTACAAGTACTTAAACATTCAGATGTTCCCCGTTGAACTAGCACCAATGAGATGTACGTCTTCGCTACAGACCTCATTTGTACGGCTACAGTATGATAGGCGAACATCCTGGCAGGTTATCGCGCTCCGACAATGCACGACATACAGAATATGACATCATTATGTACATACAGTACTTACGACTGTGCTGAAGAAGGTACTTGTGTAGTAAAACAGATAGTATAAGATCTCTTGTGTAGCATTTCGTACCGAACGCTAGATGGCTATCACTATTTGGTGTAACGCTTTGGCTTTCTACTGGAAGACTCATTCTCCAGTTTATGTTTATTTAAAGAACAGCATGCGCGGAGCTAGATACTGTAGCGAACGCGCCATTGTTTTTACCGAAACATATGGAGGTAAAAGTGTACTTCTCATGGCGCTTATCGGAGGAACGTACATGCTTTACCATCTTCAAGTAACGACGCAATTAAGTAACCATTTATTGCAGCCTATGGCGCAAAACAACAGCTTTCCGGCGACTGAAACTACTTTCAATTCTATGACCGCAAATAATGCCGACAGACAGCAACACATATTATTTTGGACAAAATTTTTTGGAGAAGAACTGACATCGGCATCCGAACTGCTCCAGAGGGCACGATCTGGCATAATGGATTGCCCCTATTCTAACTGCATTGTGTCGAGCGACCGGAGTCGACTGCCTCAAAGCGATGCTGTCATTTTTCACACAAGGGATCATTTGTGGGACAACCTTCCGCCAAAACGTTGGGCATACCAATATTACGTGTTTTTCTTCCTGGAGTCGCCAGCTAATACTTGGAACGACCTGAACGGTCTTTCGGGATTTTTTAATTTAACGTTTACTTACCGTTTGGATTCCGATATTGTTTCGGACGACTATTTTCGATGGTTCAAGCCACATTTTTTGAACAGCAGCAGCGAAATTGATCAGATTTTACGGAACAAGACGCGCTTGGCGGCAATATTTGTGTCCAACTGTTACTCTATCCCCAGCCATCGCGACATTTACATTGATAATTTATTGAAGTACGCCAATATTGATGTCTATGGGGCATGTGGCACGAAAAAATGTAACGCAAGCACACCGGAAATCTGTGACAGACTGCTGGCGAATTACAAGTTTTACCTTGCATATGAAAACAGGTGCTGCAAACGTTTAAAGCAGCTATGCAAGAAATTTACATAAATTTGAGACGCTGCGCATCAAGACTAATCGCGGATGTTACAGGAATAACAAGTTACAGCGCTAATTTTCCGTTTTCTTCTTTTTTGTTACTCCTTTCTTTTTCTTTTTGAAATGTTTTAAAAAACACAGTATTATTGCTCCCAGTTTTGTTCGGGTTTTGCGCATACACTTTTATTGACTTTTATTACTACGTTAAGCTGCTAACCACAGCATTACCATTACATTTTCTTGTGTTTGTGAGATGACCATTGACTAGCATGTTTTTCTTATTACAGCGTCTGTAAGGACTACGTCACAGAAAAAATCTATCGAGCTTTTAGTCACGACGCGGTTCCGGTTGTCTACGGTGGGGCAAATTATTCCGACTTGTTCCCTCCACATTCTTTTATCAACGTTTTGGATTTTGCTAATCCGGAATCTTTGGCGGAATATTTGCACTTCTTGGACAACAACCCCAGCGAGTACCGGAAATATTTCCAGTGGCGAATCGATCCGGCTGCAGCGCGACTGGCAGTGCCGGAACTTAGCAAGTTATCGTGGTGCAAATTGTGCACGATTCTCCATCAGCAAAACCGAAAGCGAAAGGTCGTTTCGGATATGCGTCACTGGTGGCATGTCAAGGGATGGTGCAGGTCGCCACAAATCCAAAATCGTCATTGGATCAAAAATCCAGTACTGCCAGTGCCGGACTACTGAATATTGAGGTCTTTCACTGCCAGCATCATTTGGCCTGTGTCATTGAATTCTATGAACTGACCTTTTAAACTGCTTTGAACGCGCGGTTAGTTTTCACTTTTGGTAGCTTGCTGGTTTGGTTGGTCGTTTACTCGTTGGTGGTTTGTGTTATGCCGATGATGATTATTACTGTTATGCAATTTTGTGGCAAACCTATTCAAAATGTTTGCTAGATCTCCATTTACTCAATAGATAAATTTCAGCATACAATATCTGAGTCCATCTACAGGCGCCTAACGCAATCACCAATTTTAATGCATATTTGAGTCCATTTATCAATCCGCTTTTACTATACTGGTTGTAAATTTACGTGGTGTAAGGCCTGAACCGGACGGCAAGTTCCGTATACTGATGGATACACAATCTCGGCCAACAGGCAAAACTGTGAATGACTTATCAGCAGAGTAGATTATCCGTGGGCATCTTGCAATGCGGAAAATGCAGTACATTTATTACTGGACCTGGGAAAAGGTGAAGTCTAATTGGTTCACTAATGTCCGCATCTAACCATGGCAACGTCACAGGCCCATCTCACACAAAAAGTTTACTTAATTTTTGCAGGTTAATAGAGTGACAACAAAGTGTGCTGTACCTAAAAAAACAGGGCGTGTAAAGGGCCTGACCAAACAAAATTTGAAAGTCATGTATATACTATTTTTCGCCTAAGATTCTGTGTTTGTTTGCACACCCGTTTCGGAAACGGGCTTGTAGATGGCAGTTAGAATCAAACCTGAAGGGTCTTTTTAATTCTGTTTTCGTGCTGGCAGTATTCATGCTAAATAACTGATAGCACAAATTTAAATTACATTGATCATAAGACAAGCCGCATTATACCCGACCATTATACACATTATACCACATTATACACCCCATTATACACATTATACCCGGCTTCTCTGTATAATATTTTCTGTTAATATATTTTGGTTCTGAAGCGTTTCTGTAGTCATACTATTACTATTAATTATTTCAGAAATACCGTAAAATCCGATATTAACGCTCCCCGTGCGGTTTTAAACGCCCTTCCTATATGTCACAAAAGAAAAAAAGCCACCCCACCCCGAAATCACCGCCCGGGGCGTTTAAGTTGCGGCGCCGCGCTTTTTTGGTCTGGTGTCGGTACAGGCTTAATGGTACATCTGATTAATTTAGGTAAATTCCACTTATGCACATTCGTTAAACCATGATCTTCTAAAATTTGTCATGGTTACTGAATTATTCCTTTAATGTTCATACATATCTCTATCTTATCTTAAGATTTTCTTAAGATTGCCTCTTAAAAAGTTTGCAATTTAAGAAGTAATTCAATATCCAAAGGATAAGTTTAAAATTTTTGTAGAAAAATCACGCACTTAACATTATTGCCTCTTAAAAAGTTTGCAATTTAAGAAGTAATTCAATATCCGAAGGATAAGTTTAAAATTTTTGTAGAAAAATCAAGCACTTAGCAGAATAGATCAGGACGTTTTTGAAAAAAATTATCGCAATCCAAGAAAGGTTTGAAAAATCTTTTAAAGATCTGACAGTACTTAAGCACATGTTACAAGCAAATAAAAATTTCATATAATACGAGGTATTATTTTACTTCATATTTATTGGATACTTGGATGCGTACCTAGCTTAGCAACCGAAAGAATGTGCAAACCGTGCATTACGTACTTCTACTTGGTAATAATGATAATAATGAAAGCTGCAAAACACAAGCATGCTGGTTCAAGTGTTACACTTCATCCAGTTGTACTGACTTTACAGTGCAGCAATTAGTTTATCACGTCTGCACGCGTTATATCAATCGTTTTTTGATCCAACAGCATCTTGTACGTACTTACAGAATTTGTAAATTTCAAATTACTTCCAGCATTAGAAGTTGTGGACAACCAAAGGTCATGTCTTCAAAAATTTAAAATTTATGCCCGTTAAATTTGTAAAACTTCGATTTGTTTGTAATTTTATTATGTTTTGTCTTAACGCTAAATCGGGTAATCTTGCTGTTTTTATTTTTAAACGAGATCGAACCATTCGACATCTTTGACAAACAAAAACCACGTGAGAATTCTTAAAAAATTCTATCAAACAAAATTTCTATCAAAAGCACATAATAAATTGAGGAAAATGAAAAGGAAATGGCTATAGGCACCCCCGTTATCTATAGGCACCCCCTTTCGCACCCACTTAGACTATAGGCACCCCTTTGCCTCGCAAGTATTGTACTGTACTAGTACTGTAACAAAAATTACCGTGTAACAAAAATTTGATCATGATTTTGTGTCGGATTTTTCCAACTGGGTTCGTTTTTGCCCCTGGATGAAAAATTTCCCTCATCCAGTACCGAAGGGTGGCTGCGGGACCTAGTCTGGAGATCTTCTCGAGAGACTGTCCTTGCAGTTGTCCCGCAGTTATCGAGCCGCCACAGTTCCACACCATGTAAGTACTCTTTTCTGATCTCCTGAATTCAGATCTCTTTCTCGGCCGAACGCTTTATTAAAGGGACGACAATGACGAAACCCCTTCAATGCCCAAAGTGCCTGAAAGTCCTTTCCAGTGCATTGTATCTGTCGAAACACCTGGAGACCCAACCGAAAGAATGCGCCAAAGCAGAACAACGTCAGCTGCGTTCTCAACCGCCCCCACCAAGCGCCTCGACTAATAATCAGCAGCGCACCGTACCAACTGATCTCCCATCCCGCCTGGCGGGATTACGCGAAACAGTTCCCGATCACATCCCGAAGAGCACCCGCATTATAGTGGCCGAAGCGTTACTGCAGACGCTGGAGAAAGTTACGGACAATAACTCCAGTGAAGCTTGGACTGATCTCCTCGTCTTCAGTTACGCAACCATTGGGCAACCAAAAACAGCGCTAAGCCAAAGACCACGCCTGTCTTACCCCAATATTATCCGTCAAAACATCCAAAACCATGGTCCCGAATTAATACAGGGTCCTTCGACGGACCGCGCTCCCCGTGCAGCTGAACCAGACGCTCCTGTGCAGCTCCGCAAGCGAGTCAGCCGCAAGCTCCAGGACGGCAATGTCAGCGGTACTGTACGGCAGCTAACCACCGAAGAAACGGTTCTGCCCGCGACGCCAGAGAGCTTCGCTGCGTTGAAGGAGAAGCACCCTTCAAACCCTCCGATACGTCACCCGCCTCCGGGACCCGCAACGCCGATAGCCCTTGATATTACTGCTGCAGAAATTTCAGAAGCAGGTCGGGCCTTCCCAAATGGATCGGCTGCAGGCCGTGATGGATTACGACCGCAATATCTGAAGGAGCTGATCAGTCTGAAAACACCATGAACTAGGTAAAAAGTTAGGTGAATCACTGGCTGCCGTTGCGAACATAATGTTGAAGGGGGCGGTACCCCACGACATTACCCCGATGCTGTATGGTGCAAACTTGTTTGCATACAAGAAGAAAGATAGTGGGATTCGCCCCATTGCAGTGGGAACAAGCCTGCGGCGTGTGTTTTGCCGCATTGTGACTTTCAGGTTACGTCACTTGAATAAAAAGTTGCAGCCAATCCAGCTGGGTTTCGCAACGAAAGGTGGTGTGGAGGCCGCTGTCCATGCCGCACGCAGTTTTATCGAAGATGCTGCAATTCTGGACAAGCCACAGGTTTTCCTTAAACTAGATGTCAAGAACGCCTTCAATTCCCTTGACCAAAACTACATACTTAAATCTGCCGAAGAGTTCATGCCGGAGTACTACAAGTTTGTGTGGCAGTGCTACGGTGAACCATCAATACTGTTACACGGCAAGTACAGTGTATCTTCACAGGCGGGCATCCAGCAAGGAGACCCTCTAGGCCCGCTACTGTACTGCCTTGCAACTACTGGACCTCACAAACGCCTGAAGTCGAAGCTGAAAGAGTGTTTTCTTGACAATGATGCGCTCGGCGGAGACCCTGAAGATGTCTTTGACGATCTCCGCTCACTGCAGGAGGCGCTACGAGTGCACTGGCTAACGCTTAATATAGCAAAATGCGAGCTGATGGTTATCGGAGGCTCCGAGAAAGAACGCCAAACTGTGTACGGCGCGTTTCTTCATGCGTACCCAGACCTGCTTTGTCCCCAGCTGAAGGATCTGCATTACCTCGGTGCGCCAATTCATGATGATGCGGTTGCAGGCGCACTAGTCAGTGTTACGGAGGTAATCGCCCGAATGACAAAGCGGCTAAATCTAATACCGGCCCACCAGGCTCTGTACTTGTTAAGATGCAGCATGGGCACAGTAAAGCTGATCTATAAACTGCGCGCCAGCCGATGCTACCAACAGAAAGCCCTGTTAAAAGCATTTGACGATATCATTCGCCAAAGTTTGACTAGCATTACCAATGTCAACATTACTGAAGGCATATGGATGCAGGCATCTCTTCCGATAATAGAAGGCGGTCTCGGAATTCGAAGCGTCGAAACGCTTGCCCTTCCGGCCTTTCTGGCCTCTGCTTATTCGGTGGCTCCATTAACATCGGAAATTATCGAGTTCCAACCACAGATCTACTGTCGTGATGCTGCTGCAGAATGGCAAGAAGTAACCCAACTAGACCTCCCACACCATGACGCGCGACCGGTTCAGAAGGTATGGGACAATCCTATTGTCCAAAACACCGTTGAACGATTACGAACGGTAGCTGGGAACGACATCTCCGAACAGGCAAGACTGAACGGTGTTAGCACGAAAGAAAACGGCGCATGGTTGGGTGCGCTTCCGGCTGCCTCCCTTGGCAACCTCCTTACAGACTCAGCTGTACGAATCGTCGTTGGTTTACGGCTTGGAGCACCGATCATCACCCCACACCGCTGTGTATGCGGTGAGTGGGCGGATGCCCGCGGTTACCACGGCTTAAGCTGCAAAAAAAGCCGCGGACGAATCCCTACGCATAAATGCCTTAACGCCATTGTGAAGCGCAGCCTCGCATTGGCTGGCTTTGAACGCGAACTAGAGCCACAAGGTATCTTCCCTACAGACAGCAAGCGCCTAGACGGCGTTACCTTGACACCATGGGAGAGAGGACGGATGTTGGCATGGGACGCAACGTGCGTCAATACAATGGCCATATCGCACATCGTCGCGACTTCCACACGAGCGGGAGCAGCAGCAGCACAGGCCGAGCAGGGCAAGATCGAGAAATATCGCGATATCGGCCAGGACTACCTATTCCGTGCTCTGGGCTTTGAGACGCTCGGACCACCCGGACCGGAAGCTGTCCGAACAATAACGGAATTCGGACAGAAAATACGTCAGGAAACCGGCGAAAAACGAGCCACGGAATATCTTCGCCAACGGATCAGTATCGAAATGCAGCGAGGAAATGCTGCATCGATCATGGGGACGGCGCCGATGGGAGCGAATTTAGACCAAATTTTCTGTGTGATTAGGCCGCCGCTGTCGATTGATGCTTAATGAATGATAGTTTCCAAAGCTTTTGTTAAAAGTACTCGTGTTGTAATTTGTAGAAATATAAACTAGTACTTAATGCCGCCACGTAAATCGTAAACCAATTAAAAAGAAATCTGATGTAATATGTAATAACGATCTACTTCTCTGTATCAAATACTGTAACACATCGACAAAACCATTCAAATAAATTATTCAAATTAGCTATAAGCCCATATTTTAATTCCATTTCAAAGAATTTGTAGGAAATAAAAACAGCTACAGCGCCGCCAGCTGTGTGAATGCGCATCCGCTATGCGGTACAGTGGTACACATTACATACAAGGTCAGTAGTCGAATGAGTGAGCGAACTACGACAAAAGATGTCAACGGTTACAATCGGTTAAAAGTTTGAAATTCACCAAAAATACCAAAAATGTTCGCCCATAAAGTATTGAGGGGAAAAATTGACAAATAGCGTTGCAGCCGAACTAAAATTAATGGATTCGCAAACTAAGAAAAATCCGTGACCCATCCTCGGGCGGCAGTATCTTCAAACGGTTGCGGATTTAGCGAATTTGTAACGAACCCGCAACCGCGTCAAACTTTTAATAGATTGTAACCGTTGACATTGACTCTACTAGCTACGACCACTGCTGCGAAACAGGGTCCACTGCACAGACGCCTCTGGGTTAATGACCGTAAGAAACTTAGAAATGCAACAACTATCCAGTGCACAGAGCCCGCTAGGTAGAAGTACAGTAACTGAAACGAAATGCCAATACGGAGTACCTCATCTAACGGTTCCAGTTCATGCGTGGCAGGGGCATGGTGGTCGGCGGTGCCATGGTAGGGGTCGGAGTCGCGACGGAAGATGTAGGGGAAAAAAGCCAAAAGAAATGTGTGCAAATTATGTAAAACTGATTTTTTCATCATTTTTTTTGCCTTGGGTTCGAAAGACTGGACTCGATCCAACGCGAGCGTATGAACGCTGATTGGTGCTGTGAGAGAGGGACTAGAGAGCAGCGCCGCTCAGTGTGTGCGCTGCGTATATCCGCTTCAGCGGATGAGTGAAGTGCAGCAGCACACATACGTACAAGAGAGAGAGGCGACACGGCAAGTGAGTGAGTGCAAGTACGCCCTGTAATTGCAGCCTGCAGGTAAAGTACAAGTTTTATTTTAGGAAGTGACTATAGGCACCCCTTTTTACCCCCGTTATCTACAGGCATCCCCTTTCGCAGCCGCTTTGAGTCAAAGTGGGCACCACTTTCCATTAATTAATCCCTGCACCCTGTCACGTGCAAAAGCTATAAGCTCACCCTTTGTTTTCTTGTGCTATGTTTTAAGAGCGAATTTCATGACCTTATAGAAGTTTCTGAAAGTCATATGCACTATCGACCTCAGATTTGTTCTCTTGTAATACATGGGAGCTCTCCAGCAGAACTGACACGGCTCTGTGTTCATATTGTCCAATTCTGTAATAAGTAACCCATCCGAAGATCATCCACGATCTGACAATGACCTGGTCTACCAGAAGGCTACCCTGCAGTTACCCGCCCTTTTTGGCTTTTCCGCATTCGAAGCTACTTTCAAGCGCCATCAAAGAGAAACGTTCCAACCATTCGTAGTCAAATGATCTCATCTGCAGCATGCTGCCCGATCATCCAAACCGGTCCCTTGTCGCATGTGGTCCCTACTCCCTTGTACACCTTTTATGTGAATGCCTGACCTAGTCACATGTCAGATTGTTGAAGAAATTTTTGTGAACCGAAAAAACTGTCAAAAAAACCATTTTCAGTCATGCGGAAAAAAACTAAAAATAGGTACCTATAGTCGGCGGAAAAAACCGGGTGCGAGAACTATCTATTTAACTGAAAAGGGGTGTCTACAGTAAAACAGGGTGCAAAAGAAGATGCCTAAAGCAAACGGCGGTGAAATGGGTGCCTATAGTACCACCCTTTATTTTATGGACGAAGCGTAAAATTCTACAATATAACAAAGTCACAGATGACGATAATGTCTACTGAAAAATTTACCTGCCGCTTTATTGACTGCAGAGATGACCTTAAACCTGAAATGCAAAATTCTGCGTGTTAAAGAGGAGAAATTTCCTCATTAGTTCCCCATCTATTTTTTAATTTCCAGATCAGTTATCAGTCATTTAAATTTCGTGCACCTGCTGAACAGGGCATCCGTAAATTTATTAGACTTTTGTCATTCCGCGCTTGAGCCGTAGACTATCCGATAACAGTTTACTTGTACTTTAAATCCCAATTTGAATAGTAATACTTGTCATTCCGCGCTTTTTAAAGCTTTAGAGCCGTAGACTATCCGATAACAGTTTACTTGTACTTTAAATCCCAATTTGAATAGTAATACCACTGCCCGCCGCAGGCCCGCGTTGGAGGGGGGGGGCGGTGGGGGCGGCCGGCCCCACCAGTCTCGGTTTGGCGCCGCCGGGCGGACTTTTAAACTTGGCGCAGCCGAGCCGCCAGGGGGGCGCTTTAAATTTTTAATAATTTTTGATTTTTTCGAATTTTTTTAAAATAATAATTGAGTTTTTTTCAAGTTTTTAGGTTTATTTTAAACTTATTATCATTCTTTCGTATTTTGTACACTTTTTTACAGCTTTTTTCTAATTTTTTGAAATTTTTTATTAAAATTTTTTTAAAAATAGTCCGCCCCAGGCGGATTTCAAAATTTGGGCCGCCCCCCGGAATTTTTTGGGCTCCACGCCGCCCCCCGGCGGCCTTCCGCCTACCCAAAGATGCCAGCGCGGTCCACTGGTGCCCTTTACCCCAGTTAAACGATCAGTACACTGACAGAGCAACCGCTTTACTTGCTATCGCCGTTTCTTTTTTACCATTGCCTTAACCACAGAGCACATTTCCAAACTTTAAATTTAAATAAGAACAGACGCATTTCGTTGGGTTTCCAACTTTCCATCTTCGCTTTTACGGTAATTCTTTTTCAAAGCGAGAACTTTAAATGAAATTCTTACGTGCTTGCTGCTTCGCGAGCTCCGTTTGCGCCCTTTCCAGCATGCTATATAGCGAACTGAAAAATTCATTTGTCCTTTTTTACTTAACAATGAAGCATTCCGCCTTACATAGTACAATTCGCTCCACATCAATTCCACCCTACCCATTTTAAACTGAACATGATTTAGCTTGAGCAGAAAGTGGGATTTGCATTGATACCGTATGTGTTAGGGTTCTTTAATCCAAACACAACGTGCAACGCAAACAGCTTGCTGTCCTTCGAAGCAGATCTTAAATATTCCAAGTTCCCTGTTTGTCTTTCTCAACACCACCTTGCCTTATTTACTGAAAACGAAAAAGTAGCAAATTTGCCTTAATTCGCGGGCAATTCTGCCACGAAAGGCAATCGCGCCCGCCCGGGAAGGCACTTCACAGCGTAGTTAAGCGGAAACTAAATAAACCAGTGCGGGGGTCAGGTACGTTTTTAAAATCAGACTTAACCATCCAACAGTCGCAGAATCTTCGCAGCCCCTTTGTCTTCTTTCTTTCGTTTAATTGTTTTTTGAAAATTAAATTTTGATGAGAAATATACATAAAAACGATAGAATATTATCTGTCATGGAACGTAAAAGTTCCATCCATCTGCATCGAAACTGTCAAAAAAGCGTGTTGGCTGTTGAGACAGTGATGGGGTGGTCGGTTTAGCAGCGGTGGGTTCTTGGGTTTTCCCATACACTTTGTATGTTAAAGTTTTTGAAAGTTTTCCTTCAAACTTAACTTTTTCTTGAAAAACGGATTTGTGATGGCAAATCTACACTTTAAGGGCTATCGAATGATACATAGTCATGGCAGTTTGGATCAGTGCGTTGAGCTGACGGACTCAATAAAGATTAAGGCTTACGCGATTATTATATAGAGATTATCATTATGCCATAATGATAATTATGGTACAAGTATCGGTCGCGCTAGCGCGCGACCAGTTGTGTTCGAGGTATGGAAGAATGAAAAAATACAAAATATACTTCGTACAGCAATAAAAATGATTTTGAGAAATATTTTAAATATGAAACCCCAGCGAGGCCAGCTACGTAAATATTTACATGTAGAAATGCGGACAGTTTTCAAGCTTTCCGGTTAAATTCGACCAGTATTATAAAAACTATGAAAGCCTCCGCAATTTTTCTTTTTGTTTGCATTTTTCACGGTTCTTTTTCACGTTTTTAATGTACTTAACTTTATATTTTTTTTATATTGCCGATCTAACGAACTGAAAACTTGAATTTTTTTGTACAACCGATAATATTTAAACGGTGATTAAATGAATGGAGTGGGATCATTTACAAAATGCCCACAAAAACCACTCAACCGACATTTTTGCGAAAATTAATGGAAACTTGTGAGAAACAATTAACGGTTGCCCAAGGTGACCTGGCAGGCTGCATCTTTAGCTACTAATTGTAAGAATTTTCGGCTAGCCATTCAGTCAAGCTCTTCAGTATTTATAAAATAAAATAAATACATATTTATTAGATTTTGAGGTTAGTGAATGCCCAAGCTACCGCCAGTATTACAGAGCAACGTAGGTTAGCGAATCCCCAAGCTACCACCAGTATCACAGAGCCGCTATTTGAGTGACTCAGTGATTACGGTAAACGGGCTGCGGGCTGGCTTTCAGATATTTAGAAATTACATATAAATTAGACAATTTAGACCGTGAGATACTGAGGTACTCAGATTTCTAGATATTTTTAAAATTCGAAACTGTTGGGCCAGTCGCTATGGCAGCCTACGAGTATGGCAGCCAGCGACAGTCCCGCTTCCGGTGTGCTGACTCACACCGAGTCGCACTCGCTGTCGAGCGCTAGATCGGCCTCGACTCAGGCAGCTTTCCGCCCAGCCTTTCGTCTCGGCCAATCATCGGCCTCGATGTAGGCGGAGCCACGCCTCCTTTCCACATCTCGGCCTATCAGCGTTCGTTCGCTCGTGTTGGATCTGCCCAGTGCCGCATTAGGCTTTTTCCCATGTTATGGCTCGATGTGCCATTCATTTTCATTCATTAGCTGACATTCGGTGATTTCTGATCGACAGCTCACATCGAGCCTTTGTGTTTTGGTTCTCTGTACTTTATTGCTATCCACAATAAAGCCTTCTCACTATCGTGAGCCTTTGTTCGCCTGCTGTCACATGATAGCAGATCGTTGAGTTTTTCCTTCTGCGAACCTCTCGAGACCACGGTGTAGACCTACATCCGTAACGGCCGACGTGAAGAAAGGGGAGAACCAACGGTTCCCATCCCCATCTGATCGCCGCCAGCCAGAACGGTCTGGTCTCTTCTCTCTCTCTTGCGGGCAGAAAGCCTCGGCAGACCCTTCTCCTCGCGCGTGGACGGAACGTTCCTCGCGGAAACGACCCTCGGACGGACTTGACCGGGTTGATTAGCGGTTCCCGCGGATCCCCGGACAGAACGGACGGCACGGACCCTCGCGGACCCTCTCAGCCTCATCAATCGGGGTCGCCTTTGCCTTAAGTGGCACCCGCAACTTTACCAGCGCGGGATTCACCGAATCGACCAGCGGACTCACGCGGATTTACCCGGTAAATAGGGTCAACTGACCCTCGGTAAGCCTCGTAGAGCCTCATAAGACCCGATATAGCCGGGCATCTTTCATTTTCACCGGACCAAAAGTAATTTGGCCGGCTAAAACTTATTTTCACCCGGATAAAACGGGCTTAAAACATCTTTTTACGGGTTAAAATAGGGTTAGCCAGCCTTACTAGGCCGGACCCTCGAGCCTTGGTGTAGACCCTCTGAGCCTCGGTTAACGATCTTTCTGAACCTTCTAAAAATTAAGGGAACTAATTTCCCCCGGCTAAATCAATTTTTGGCCGGCTAGAAAATTTTTCCTGAATTTTTCCTGAATTTCTGGAATTTTTCTAACGCGGAAAATAATTAATTCAAAAATTTAAATAATTGTGACGTCACGACGGCCGATTTTACATTATAATAATTGACCAATCAGGATAGCGGGGAGATTCCCTATGCTGTAGGCCCGTAGTGAGTCATAGTTTTTTGGAATTTTGCACGCGGCGCGCAGAATCGTGACGTAGGCAGTAATCTGCAAGACCACTTAGCGGTGTGTGACGTCATAGCGGTCAGTACTGTATTATAGGACGTACGTAAGCTGTACCCTGTATTGACAACAGTACTGAGTTGCAAGTAGTACAAGCACACCCACACCATCACCCCACACCCCACCGGACCTCTGCCCCCCACCGGACCCTCGGACCCTCGACAGGCAAAAAGCCTCATCAAATTCGGACAAGTCCCCAATAGGGATAGTCCGACTTCTTGGCTGAAGGGTCAACCCGGAGGCTACTTCAAGGCTCCAACAGAGCCACCACCGAAGATGTCCGGTCGAGAGAACCCGTATGAACGGAAGTTCGACCAAGGCTACGCCCGACGAGATAACGCAGGCGGGTACACCTTCCGCCATGCCGGCCCGGGTAGTGAGCCTCACTCGTCGGATTTTAACCGATCGAGTAAGTCCGGCAAGTCAAACCAGTCGACCAAGTCGGCCAAGGAGAAGCGGGACGCGCGGATCCTGGCGAACGACTTCACCCAATCGCCGGAGGATAGCTTCGAGGACGCCCACGACCGGACGTTCCTCGAGCTACCACAGGCTGAACCGGAGGTTCTGCACGGCCCAATAGGTCGAGACGCAAACTCCGAGCCTGCGGCTGGACTTGTGCACCCAATAGGTGCCTCGCCAGTCTTCTTCCCGGCCATCACCCCAGACCATGGAGCCTCGAGCCCGGCGCTAAGTAGCTCCGAGGCGTCACCAGACATGGGTGACCCTGTGCAGCCCCAACAGGGCAGCATGGCGGGACCGAAACCGAGGCAAGGCCAGATGAGCCCGAGCCAGATGAAGGGTACGGTATCACCGACCCGGGGGGTGACCCACAAGGCGGGTTCACCGACTAAGTCCCCATCGACCCTGGCTCAAAGCCCCAAACCAACGGGCAACAACCTAAAATCTTTGGACAACAACCGGAAATCGACGTCGCCGGACCCGAAGCGACCCTCGGGGACTCCGAAGGCGACCACACCGGACCCGAGGACCCTTACTGGAACTTCAAGTCGGACTTCAAACTCACCGAAGCCGACCTCGGGAACTTTGAAATCACCAACGGGAAGGTTGCAGTCGGCTGGAACCTCGAACACCGAGGCTCGAGCCTCGGACACCGAGGCTCGGACCCCCAACACTGGGGTCCGGACTCCGACCCAACAGGTTGGAACACCCAAGACCCGGCCGGCAACCCCACTTCCTCGGCTAAAAGAAAAGCTGTTTCCCGGTCAAATTCCGGATTTCGTCGGTTGCAACCTCCACGGGCGAGGTTGAGGTTCGGTTACCGAGGTGAACTTAACTCGGCTGGCGGACCGTCATCCCCGAAACTCAAGACCCCGGCAGTGAACCTATGCTGACCCGAGCCAGCCGGATCGAAGCCTCAAAGGCTGATCGGAAGTCGAAATCGGCTTCACCGAAGGTTGCAAAGCCAACCTCGGACCTTCCGGCTACACCCCGATGTTCGAACCTCGGACCTCGGGGCTGGTAAAACTCCATCACCGACCGACGATGTCTTCGACGCAACTGTTACCCAATAAGGTGACCGAGCGTCCTGACAAAGACCCTCCGGAGAAGATTGACAACCCACAGTCCGTCAACGGATTTACGAGCTGCAAAACCAGCTCTTGGCCGGACAAAACATCGTCGAATCGACGGAGAATGTTCTGTCCCAGACGGTGGCTTCGCACAAACAGGAGCGCAAGAGGCTCACTGACGAACCTGAACGTGCGAATGCTGTTATTGATGACCTCACCCAGGAGATCGAACGGTTAGAGGCCCAGTTACAAGTAACTGAGGAGCCCTGCCGTCATGAACAAGCCGAAGTCACTAGACTCCAGGACATGCTGGAGCAGTCTCGGGCTGAAGTGGCCACCCTGCGCCAGGACTTGGAGCAGCGGTTACAGGCCCTCGGCTACTCCGAGGCTGGCTCGGCGGAACTCCTTAAGATGTTCGACCGGGTGGATGAGTATCGCGAGGAGAACCATCACCTTAAGCAGGGCATCATCGGCCTGGAGGGAGAGATCGACGAGCTCAACTCAGAACTCGACTTCCTCCGGACGGCCTACGCGAACCTCCGGGAGAACCAGAACGACCCGGAGGGTATAGCCTTAGACCTTCGGCTATGCCAGGCCCAACTTGGCCAGCAGATTCTCGCCCTCACCACCCATCTTCAGAACGAAACAGCTCGGTTCGAACAGGCTCGCACCGAGAACCTCGCAGTCATTGAGGCTCAACGAGCCCGGATCACACAGCTTGAGTCCGAGAAAACCCAGTGGGAGATGGACAAGGACCGTCTTCTGAAGTACCAACAGGAGCTTTACAACTTCGGTATCGACCTATCTAACCGGTACAACGACCTTGGTGACAAGTACAACCAGATGTACCAGGAACGAGAAAACCTGGGCATCGAGGTCGCATGCCTGAAGGAAGAGAAGACATATCTCGAGGACTCCATGACCGAGCAACCCCGTCCTACCGGACTACCCAAGAGCAGGATAAATGTCAGCAGATTGATGACTACCTGCGACGAGATAACCCCCTACTGAACCCAACAGGTCAAATGGGGGCTCTCGAGAGTCAAACCTACCAGGTCGGAATGCTTCGGAACGAACCATCGGTAGGACCCGTACCGAGGGCGCCGGTGGTACCGTCAGCCCCGGAGCCGGAGCGAAACACTTCGACGGCCACCCCCAACGCACCGACCCAGTCAACTACCACAACGACTACGGCTCACGGAGGAACATCCACAACGACGATGTTCTCAACCGGAACAACGCCTGTAGCATCGACTTCAACCGGACAGGACGACCCCCGAGCCTCGAACCTCAGAGGCTCGGACCTCCGAGGCTCGGACCCCCGAGGCTCGGACCTCCGAGGCTCGGACCCCCGAGGCTCGGACCCCCGAGGCTCGGACCCCCGAGGCTCGAACCTCCGAGCCCCGGTAAATGGATCTGGCATGGGACTCCGACCGCCGACAAACGCTTCGGCGGGAGCCTCACAGCCTAATTCGGGGAATTCCAACCGGGACCGACAACGTTCGGGTTCCCAGAACACGTACCCGCCGAGGATTGAAGTTCAACCTGTATCGGCAGGGCAGCGCAATTGGGCTGACCCGGTACGACCCGGATATCCGGATAACGCATCACAGCAGCCTCGGCCAGACAACCGTGACCCAATAGGTCTGGTTGGCCCCGGCGCTGTCGGCAATGGACCTTGCCAGCCTCGGCAGGGCAACATGGACCCAATAGGTCCGGCGCCCCAGGCCGACCAATACGTGGTTATACCACCGGGGATGTGGATGGACCACAACAGGGTCCTACAGAGGATGCCTGGGTATGTGGCACCAAACCAACTGCCGAACCAGGGGTATGGAGCGCAGAATCCTCCGCCCGGACCTGGACAGCCCCAGCCGGCACCCCCTGGTAACCCATACCCTCAACCCCAACCACAGCCATACCCTCAACCTCAACCACAGCCGTACCCACCTCAACCCGCCCCGGCTGCGCAGAACCAGCAAGCGGCCTACCCGGTGGCTTGGAACCCTCCGGTAGCCCAACAGGCGATGCCGGCGGTCCAACACCGTCAGACCCCACCACCTGATGAGCAAGACATCGCTCAAGCCCGACAGGAGGGCTATGAAGAAGGCCGGCGCCGATACGAAGAGCGGAACAACCGGATCTTGGCTCGGAAGAATCGGGCAGAGTTGCCGAAGTTTAACGGCGACGGGGCCAAGGTGGAAGGCTGGATCTCAAAGATCCGGCGAATCTATCGCTCGGAGGCTGACGGCGTCGCAATGACGGATGTCGCCTTTATGACAGAGCTGGAGGGCGCCCTTACTGGACAAGCCCTGGAATGGTACCAGAACCAATCAACTCTGGAACCTGAAGAAAATGGATGGACCGTCGACTAGTGGCTGCAGCAATTTGCGGCCCGGTTTATGGACCCTGACAAGCAGGTCACGGCAGTCGCGGACATCACTACCAGAAGGTACATGCTGGGGCAAGAGACCCCCGAGCAGTACTATGACGCCATTATAAACCTCAAGCAACGAGGCAACATCACCGACGAATTGGCGGTCTTCTACCTGCGGACGAACGTCACGGAGCCAATCCTTCGGGCAGCCCTGGACGTCCGAATGCCAAAGACGACGCGTGAGTTCCGGGACTACGTACGGGACTTCACCCGGGGAAAGCCGATGTACCAGGTAGTTAAAGGTGGCAACTCCACCAACTACATCACCGTCAGGACGGCGACTCCCGTTCCTGTGACCCAACCGGCTCCCGGATATATCCAACCCAACTCGCCAGTTTACCAGAACGCGCAACCGGGGCTCCACCGACAGAGCCCTCCGGCGACACCACCACCCCAAGCCCGTGGTCAACTTGAACAGACTTGGGCGGCAATGGCGGCGATGAACCTTAATGGAGCCCCAACAGGGACCATGGTCACGCCGCCAGCCTATGGGAACAGCGGCCAACCGAGTCAGCCTCGGAGCCCCGGCTACGGCCAATCACAGAGCCAGGGTTACTCCGGCTATGGCCAGCCCCAACAGGGCTACAGCCAGCCTCGGAGCCCCGGCTATGGCCAGCCCCAACAGGGCTACGGCCAGAACTCCGGCTACGGCCAACCTCAGAACCAGGGGTATGGCTTCGGAGGCGGATATGGACGCGGTGGAGCCTCCCAATATGGTGGCTCCGGCGGAAGACGTGGCGGCGGGAATCGCGGCCGCGGAAACTTCGGCAACCGCGCGGGTGGAGGCGGACAGCCCCAGAACGTGCAGCGGCAGCCTCGGACACCACAGCAGGAGGCTCGCCAGCAGGCAACCTACGTCGATCGGATGGAAGCCAAGTTCTTCCAGTGGACCCAGGATGGGATATTTTCCTGCGGTCACTGCCTATGGGGCAACCACAACCAAGCGAGTTGTGGCTATGCCAACCTCCGGCTGGAAGACAATCCAAACCGGAGATGGTACCTGGATTGGAGGTACCGGTACGATAACGGATGGCCGTTAGGTTCGGCAAATCAGAACTACCCGAACATCGTACCACCCCCACGCCCCCGTCAGCAGAATGCCAGCGGATTCGGTGGCCAAGGCAGCCCTAACCGGCAGCCCGGCCAGAGAAACGGAGGGAACCCCCAGAATGGAGGCCGACCCCCATTGGCAACCCCGCCACCAGCCCAACGGCCGCAACTGCCGCCGTCCCCGGCCCCCAATAGGGGCCCGGGCGGATACCAACCGGCAGTTGGCGGGCCTGTCCCGGGTACATCCCAGGGAAACGCCTAAGGTCGATGAGCTCCGGTGACTCATTCGACCTCTGTCATCCAACGGAACCACCGGATAAGGATAACCCTACTAACCGGAATAACCCTTTGGACACAACTCGGAACCTCAACGAGGATTTAGCCTCCGCAACGGTCAGCGAGTCCGCTAGAATCTTAGCGGCGGAGACGGCAGCCCAACTAGGCGCCGAACATCCCCGGTTCGGATACTCGGAGAATCGACCCGAACCTCGCCACGCCGAAAATGCGGCTACCGGACCAGAACAGGTACCAGGGAGGATCGGCCAAGGAACTTGGATCCGATCGGCAGCCGGGACACAGAACGTGCCCGGACCCCCAGGCCCAGAAGATGAAGCCGGGGATGTCGGCCGGAGAAACCGGACCCGACCAGCCGGGACGAGAAACGTCACCAGGCCGCCCGGACGGCTCGGTGCCCAATTAAGCATTACGAGCCACGGGCTAAGCGGAGAATCGGGACGCCGACCCGCAACCTCGCAGGACGTCAGAATGACGCCTGAACCGTCCTTGGTAGGCCAACCAGGCTCGAACCTCCGACCCTCGAGGGTTAAACCTTTGACCCTCGGGCTCGGACCCTCGGACCCTTCGAACCCCGGCGATCATCCTCTCCGAGTTACCCAATAGGTGACAGGGGACGAATTTGGGATTTTTAGCCGAGCCGAACATCACCGTATCCATTTGCCAGCGCAGCCGAGGGTACACCCCGGACTCTAACTCGAGTACCGAGGCTGCCAATGGACTTAGTCTCAGCAACCGAGGCTGATCTTGGACTCTGATTTTGCAACCGGAGCTGACCCTCGGTTACCGAGGCTACCATCGGACTTCAAAACCTTGAAGCCAGCCGGATACAGGGTCGGACTCCCGCACAGAGGCCATATTATCATTCGGACCAGAACGTGGTTTACACTGCACAGTGCAGTGTAAACCACGTCCATCGACCATTCAACCCTATGGAGACCAGGCGTTAACCGGTCCTTGTTGCCCAATAGGCGACAGGATACAAAATTACGGTTTTTGCCCGGGTCAAACCTCGGATCACCGGACTCCCCGGAGGATCCACCGATCAATAGACTCAATAGGTCTTATCCCGCACTCAGAGAGGGTACCTTACGGTATTCGCGATTGCGACAGTGCCTCTCCATCAACCTTACCCGATGAACCTCGGCTGGACCAAAGTACGAGCTACCTTACCCGGCTACGAAGGTTCTGATTGAGCTTTTACCGGAGGATCCCGGTCGGAAAGTGTGTTTCACGCCCGTTTCACACCCGACAATGGAGATCCATACCCTTTACCCGAAGTCGATAGGTTCGAACCTTTGACCCTCGAGGGTCGAACCCCCGACCCTCGGTGAAGCGAACCGGTACCACTTGGTATCCCGAGAACCGATGCCTCGGACCTAGATGGCCGGATATCCTGTGGACTGGAGCCCCCGTGAGCGGATCAGCTCTAGTCGGAATGAGCACCCGGACCAAAGCCCCGGACCAAAGACTTTGAGTTTACTTTTTTTTTAATCTCGAAATGATGTTCTCAATTTTATTGATCTTTTCATTAACCTGCTCACCAGGAATTGTGATGTTATTTTTACTAGAGAGAGAGAAATGGAATAATACTTTATTTTTTTTACTTTCTCGCCGTTACGGACACAACCAACAGATGCCTACACCGGTCCAACAACACCACCGACCGACCTTCGGATTTCGGCCGTGAGTTGTATCGCCACCACGGGTCCGGAGGAGAACGCGGCACCGAGAGACCTTCGTCATCGGACACTCCCGAGGCGCAGCCACCGACCCCAATAGGGTCGTGTGCGGAGCGGGCACTGGAGCGGTACGTGGCCGGTCCTTCGCAGGGGCTCGGACTCCCGCCCAGAGGCATGTTGGGCCAGTCGCTATGGCAGCCTACGAGTATGGCAGCCAGCGACAGTCCCGCTTCCGGTGTGCTGACTCACACCGAGTCGCACTCGCTGTCGAGCGCTAGATCGGCCTCGACTCAGGCAGCTTTCCGCCCAGCCTTTCGTCTCGGCCATCATCGGCCTCGATGTAGGCGGAGCCACGCCTCCTTTCCACATCTCGGCCTATCAGCGTTCGTTCGCTCGTGTTGGATCTGCCCAGTGCCGCATTAGGCTTTTTCCCATGTTATGGCTCGATGTGCCATTCATTTTCATTCATTAGCTGACATTCGGTGATTTCTGATCGACAGCTCACATCGAGCCTTTGTGTTTTGGTTCTCTGTACTTTATTGCTATCCACAATAAAGCCTTCTCACTATCGTGAGCCTTTGTTCGCCTGCTGTCACAAAACTTTGGAGGCTCAAAAAATTAGAGGTAACGGCCCCGCTGCGCGGGGCCGAGTCGAAATATTTAGAAATTTTAGAAATTCTTGAAATATAAAAGCTTTGGAGCCGGCTTTCGAAAAATCTACACTTATTTTGAGGTATTCAAACAGATTTAAAAACATCTTATAAGGTTTCCAGAATTAACAAAAAATTATAAGTTTGATGGGATTAACAATTTTAAATAACTATAGTTTAGGTTGCTAAGTTGCGAAACTTGTATTTGGTCATTCGAGACGTTTCTAGAATTTACTGGAAATTTCTATGAACTTTAAACGCTAAGCACTGAAAGTTTGAAAGGGGTTTTGAAAACGTTCCGGAAACCAAAATTTTTTTCCAAGCTGCAGGTAGGAAGCTTTAGAAGATGCTGGATTTTATAAAATAATCAAAAGCTTCACAAATGGATTCTCGAATTAGGAGATAATTTCCAAAGCTAACAACCTTTAAGTACTAACAACCTTTAAGTACTACAGCTTATAAAAATTTTTTTAGACCTTCTCCAAAACTTATTATTTTTTTAAAGATAAAGGTAGGAACGTTTGCGCGATGCTCTATTTTATAAAATTATCAACTTATTGAAAAAATCAATTTTGATTTAGGAGATAATTTCCAAAAAATAAGGACGTAAGGATATATGAATCTATTGACTATTGATAATCGCGGAAAGCAGAACTCAAAATTACCATATTGATTATGGTAATTTTGATTACTCCGCGGTTTGCCGTCCCGATATTACGCTGACAATGAGATCTGACTAGGTTACAAGGTTGGGAACGAACTATTTCGGATCTTTCGAGCGAATTAATGGATGTCAATTTTACTGTCTATAAGTCAGACTCTGATAGTGGACCAGTATGCAACTGTTCGGATTATTTCTCGGAAGCAGAAGACCGTGCGGGAGTGCAACTGGGAAATATCAGTAATTACCTTTCGCAGGATTTTGCCAGTTATTTCGCTAGAGACAGGTAAGAAATAACGTTATCTGATTTATTTTTGTACATTGCAAATTTTTTGTTACACTAGAAGTTATTATCAATCCTGCGAAGCCCTCGGTCAGCCTCGGTTATGGTGGATATTTCTCATTAGCAGCATACTAAGCTGGCTGACCTTGTATTCTGTTCTGGGGGTGTGGAACACCGTCAAGTGGTGCCGATCACGCAGTTCCAAGCAAGTGCTAAAAAAGAGGGCCTTCACCATCATTGAAGTGGATCCGTCATCATTTTTTGACGACTCCAGCACTGCTGACGACGTCGTGATGATGTCTCGCAGGTGGACCTTTCAGTGGTATCATGTCATGGAAAGGGAAGCCAATCGCATTATAAACTGCCAGACACTAACGGGCAGAGTTGTTGTACGCCTTTTCTTACATAACATAGCTTAAGGGAAGTGGCCCGGTACATGGCACCAAATTCGTGTACATGCACGAAATCTTTCACTTTCGCACACTCCCAAACCCCTTTTTCTCTTGTTTTATGGCATCCTGTAGCCAAATGATTTGTAAACACAGGCCTGGAAACCGTTTGCGTGCGCAACATCCGGTTCGCGAGTTATGGCTGTTAGAAAATTCCAAAAAGTTTAAATACATTCAGGTGTACCAAAAGTCTCATTATGGACTGATCTGTTTCAGATTTTGCACGTAAATGCACTTAACCACATAGAACGTTTTTACACCGGTCCACTGTTCTAGCATTTTTTTCAAATTTTAAAATGAATTTCAAAAATTTCAAAATTCATTTTAAAATTTGAAAAAAATCGTGGAAGCCTGGATCGGTGTAAAAACAGTCTTCATGGCCATGTGCATTTACATGCAAAATTTGAAGGAGATCGGTCCATAATGAGACTTTGGTACACCTGAATGCATTTAAACTTTTGGGAATTTTCTTACAGCCATAACTCCCGAACCGGATGTTGCGCGCACAAACGGTTTTCTCACCAGTGTATACAAATCATCTGACTACAGAATGCCATAAACCGAAAAAAACGGTGTTTGGGAGTGCGCGCGAATGAAAGTTTCCGTGCATGTACACGAATTTGATACCATGTACCGGGCCACTTCCCTTAAGGTGCTCTGCCTGACATGCATACTTACAGGCGATCATTGGATTTTGTGTGGCGATGGTTTCCTTTGGGATTTATTGTCAAGATGTGGCCGAGTATGTTTGCGGACTGAGAACACTACGCTAGAATCGTACTTTATAGTTGGTTCTCTTTACATGACAGTACAGTTCCGGATTTGGAAGTGTGCCGTGCATGGACTTCGACTGTAGAATGGCAAGTGGATTTTGTGTGCAACTTGTTCTTCCTGGTGTACTTTGTTTTACGGGTATGCTAGCAAAGCTGCACTAGCAGAATTGCCGACTTAGTTTTAGTGTGCATTTGTTCTAGTGAATTAAGTATTACATGCTGTGCTTTTTTAGTACTGCGCGTCCAGCCGGAAGTTTGTCTTTCTAGCCGAGGCTTATTCCATAGTGGACTACTTTACCATTCCACCGTCTATTACAGCGATAATACTAGATCGCAATTGGTCAGGTTAGTGGAAAGGCCATAATGTATTCCGCAGAAAAGAAGGGCTCATGGTTATTGCAGGGCTACGATTTCTGCGGGTGCTGCATATACTCTCTATTCCTGACGTCATGCAGTATGTGGGCATCCTTAAGACCAGAACACAAGTCACATTGACCTTTCTTATCTGTCGTCTGGCATGTATAATCCTGGTCGGAAGTGGTGTTTTTCATCTGGTAAATACTAAAGACGAGCATATCGAGCTATCAATTTTTGTTAGTGGGTACACGTAATTCCATTTGAAGATATAACAATTTTTTGGTTAACCAGACAGAAAATTTTAACGCTGTATTGGAACACGGGCATTCTTACTGGAAATTTTTGTACTTCTCCGTCGTCACCATCTCCACCGTGGGATACGGCGACATCGCCCCGGTCACTGCAATGGGCCGTGCATTTGACTGTATATACATCCTCGGAACCATTGTAAGTCTGTCTTATTATTCTTCCCTCGGAAAAAGAATGGTCAGCTGATGTTGTTTCTACAGGCCCTGTTTGCATCATCGCTGCCGGAAGTGGGCAACATGGTGCGATCCAAACTGAAATACGGCGGCGGTTTTAAGCCAGAAACGGGATTAGAGTGAGTTCCTGTATGGGATACTCAAAATATAAGATTTGTTGGTTTTACAAGTTGTTGTATTGCAGACACGTCGTTGTATGTGGACATATCACTTTTAGCATTGCCAACAGATTCTTGGAAAGTTTTTTCAACAGTGCTTACGACACTAGTTATTTGTGTGTTGTTTTTGTCAGTAAGTAAGTTACTTTCCACGTTTGAATTATCGTTTATGGTTATGACGGCCATCGTTCAGTTCGAACCACTTTTAGCCAGGATCCCGATTTGGAAATGGAAGCCCTACTTCGCAATAATTTCGCCCAGGTGGAATACCTTCAAGGCGATGTTCTAAACTCCCTGGATCTCGCTCGGGCCGCCATGCAACGGGCTCTGGCCTGCCTGATCATTGCCGACAAGAAGCCGGAGCAGACGGAAACGGAAGATGCTACTAATGTACTCCGCGTCATTTCCATAAAGAACTTTCATGCGACGACACGAATAATAGCGCAAATCTACCACAAACGTAATCATGTACGTGTGCACGGAAGTATCTGAGACTTCCGTGCTGCCTCTTCAGCCTTTGCAATAAAATTTTCTACTGGATTTCACCGATAGATCCATCTCACGAATCTCTCTAGCTGGAACTCGTTGAGGGGTGACACCATCGTCAGCTTGTTTGAGATTAAAATGGGATTGTTAGCTAAGAGCTGTATTGCCCCGGGATTTTCGACAATGGTATCCAATCTCATGCGAGCCAATCCGGATATCGCAAGTTTTCCTTACAATTTTTTCGGGCACCACGACAATCAGGTTGCTTATCCTGTGCGCTGACTCGATATCTGTGACCAGTGTTCCCATGTGTAGTTTTCAGGAGTTGGACTCTATCTTCTTGTATCATTGCACTGGAAAGAACCAACTACTGATGCAGAAGTTGAGCGACTACTACACCGATATGTCATTCAGTCAAGTCGCTCGGTAGATTACATAATATGATCAGTTTGTTTAAAATGTTACAACCTTCATTTAGAGAATGTTCCATTTAGGCACTGTTACGCGCACCTGGGGGTACTGTTAATCGGCTTGTTCGAGAAGCCGACTTCCTGGGTGGCCGGGATTGAGTTTGGAGATATAATGATCAATCCAAGCGCCATATCGGTGACCACCAACCATATGGGCATTTTCGTTGCATATTCTCAAGATGAAGTCGACAAGTACGTATCTGATCAGAAAAGTGACTGATCACATAATGGTGTCTCTGATGGTCTCTAAAACACCTGGCGCACTGCTACTCAATTTAGAGCTTGGTATTACTGTGATAAATGTCACATCAATACGAAAAGTCCTAATGGCATCACACCGTGTCTGCATAATTCGGGTAGGTGACTTAAGGATGGTTAGTGGTTAACGATGGATAACAGTTTTCCAGATCGGATTTTTTAGCGTTTGAGGATTTTTTCATTCAGTGTAATTAAGTACATTCTATTTCAAGGGAAGCAGAATCCGTACATACTGCAGGAACGCAACCCCATGCGGCGATTCTGGCTGCAGTGCCGACGGTTTCAATTTGGCGGCAATGCAAAAGTCACCACTGAAACCCATTCGACCCGAACTGTCTGGCAGGGCGATGGAACGCAAATTGCAGAAAAACGGTAACCATCTTTGTGTGATGACATAACTTAATATACTTATCATACCTGTTATGTTGGCTAGAGACTTTATTCTTGAAGATATCGTCATTCCGATTCCGAGCGTCTCAGCGACTGCCGAAATCTATCCTGCCTTATCAGCAGGTTCTCTGGCCATTAAATCACAGGAATCTGGGTTTCTAAGTACACAGTCGGAGCTGAGTGCCATTCGTAAGCATCATTGGGTGCCGTCACGCAGTTTCCAAGAAGCAAAAGCCGCAGCAGTACGTTTAAGTAAATTCCCACTCGAAAACATCGAGTTTATACCTACAGGCTACAAAGTTACAAGGCTTTGTTTGATTTACAGGATCCAAAATCCAAGCTAGCCATCCAAACCGGTTTCAGTGGCCATATTGTTATCTGTGTTTTTGCTAAGCCGAACGCGTCCCCCTTGGACTTGTCCGAACTTGTGATGCCGCTAAGATCTGGGGATATTCCATTTGAGCATTTGAAAGAAATTGTTCTGCTGGGAAATACCGTGTACCTTGAAAAAGAATGGAGCACGTTAAGCAACCTTCCTAAAATAACTGTTGTGCGGGTAAGCACAGACGGCAGGCGGCAGTATCGAGAGCATGACGAAACTGGAGAATTATGTGAATGTTTCCCTGCTGTCTTCTTATCAAAACTAGACACACAGATTTTTTCTCGATATTATCTGAATTTTTCTAAGTAATGCTTCAAAATCGAAATACTACAAAATTTTGTTAGCTTATTCATACCTAAATTACGAGTACAATGGCATTATCGAATTCTAATATTTGATGGTTTTGATAGTAAAAGAATTGAACTCAGTTTAATAAAGCCGTTTTGGCATCACATTTTGAATCGTAGGGCAATCCTCTGGAGCGCACGGATCTGGAAATGGTGTCGATTAACGAATGTGACACATGCGTCGTAATTCAGTCTAAGAGTGGTCATTCCAAAGACGAAATTCTTGATGACAGAGAAGTGATCCTCTCTACACTGAACATCAAAGCCATGAAGTACGAAGAAGAACAGAAGCAGCGGGTGGAAAAGCCGAGCGTTCAGAACCTGCAGCCCAGTGAAGAAATAATGGCGGAAATAAAAAAGCGACAAAAGCTTATCACTAATATAGGTACAGTGCCTTCTGGACTACATTCTTCACTGTATTAATTAGTGGACTTGGATTATTAATTGCCTGAACTCCGAACTTTTAGAGCATGACGAGAACATTAAATTTTTGGAACGCGACCGCACCAATGCACAGCGGGACATTCCGTTATACTTATCCAGCTCTTTCGTATCGGGAGCCGTTTTTCTGGAAAGTGTTCTTGATTCCTTGTTAGTAACGGTAAACCGGTTGTTGATCTCAGCGGTTTTTCTCTATTTCTCACAATTTCATTTTGCTAGAGTTATTTTGAACCCTTGGCGTGCTCATTAATTCGGAGTATGGTGCACGGTCGCGCTCAAATGGGAATAATGAGCGAAAACACCGCCAGTGGCAACAACGTCAGCTACATTCCATGCCCTACTGTTCAGCAAGGTTTGCTCAAAGTGATTAGGATGTCAGATCCTATGTTCGCTAAATACGTCGTACGTATGCAACGTATGTATGTATCGAAAGGGTAAGTTGACATAACCGGAGAAAAAAATATTCCATTCATAGAATGGGCCATACAGAAATGTGGTTCTGGAATCCTTTGCCAACGGAATGGTGTGTATCGGCATTGGGCGGCTCGACCGAAAGGTCGGACTGGAGAAAAGTGTCAGTATGACGTATCCGCTGACAAATCCGATGCCTGATTTGATAATGCGTGAATCGGATGACTTGTACCTCTTCGCTTCATATTTAGCTTCGCCTAGTCGGCATAACGAATCGGCATCCCCTCAGCTTCCACCAGGATGTCGCCGTACTATACTCGTTAGAAAAAGTGAACCCAAAGCGTTGACACTGAAAGCGTTTGCCACGAAAAATATGATTAAGCGTGGCAAAAGATGATGTAATGCCAGGGTTGTTATTCGGCACTGTTACGTGCAGTAGCTTACTACTGCCGTCTGTGTTTCTGTAGTTACTTATTTAATAAAGTACGTACTTCTGCTACTACAGTTCACGCTGTAAAGCTTGATCTTATTGGGTAACGGCCAAATGTCGATTTTTGCATGTCCAAGGATAGTTTCAACTTGCTTGTAAAGGATGCATTCCATAGCGGATGTTGAGTCTGCTAGCTATTATGAGCACATTTTTGAATATAATAATCCTGACTCTTTCTTTGATTTAAGCACGCCAGTATTAGTGGACAAATGCCCCGAAACCTATCGAACCATCTTTGACAAACCTATTGGCTCGCACCATAATATCGACGAACTTAAACAGTGGTGGAGCAATCAAAAATCAGATCATAACATCGATTACCGTTACAATTTAGATAAAATTCGTGCCATTCGTCACCATTTAACAAAGCTCATCACGAACAGAATTTCAGAAATGCAATGGAGCTCTACTCACTTGCAGAAGTCTTCCTCCGAAATCGGCCTGATGATGCCTTTAATACACAGCAGCCGTTCACCGACAACTGCTCGGTCCGCAAAAAGTCCACATCGGGTGCCAATTACGCCAAAACTCCATTCAAAAAGAGCTGAGAGGAAACTATTTAATGATGATAACGTTGCAAACAGCATTTCTATGCCGCTCAAAACAGAAGGCCTTTCACCTATGTTTACTGGCAATGAAGATACGTGTAGAAGACTATCATCGTCGTCCCATGGCTCTATAACCATTGATCTTAGCGAAAATTCTAGTACTGCCTCTAGTCATGACATGTCGTCCCTACAAAGCAGTGCCACGTTCTATCTACGCGGAAATGAAAATCCACCTTCTCTATCGTCCAACGAATCCGAATTTGCTGTTCCCATGATTGGACAACGAAGTCCCTCCCTAGAAGAATCACTGTGTCAAGAAGTGAATCGACGCAGTTGCGAATTCCGCAAAGTATCACACAGTAATTCAAGGTCCAGTTACCTCACCGGCTTCGAGCAAGTCGCGGTGACGCTGGATTACGAAGAAGAAGGTGATATCTGTATTACGCCTGCAGAGATTGAATTCGGTTTACAGCAGCTGATTGACGATTCCGTGCATAATTTGACTTGGGCCACAAAAACTTTATTCAAGTATCGCTCCCTCGTGCAAAGTCGTCAGCGATTGGCGGAACTAAAGCACGAAAGTGCTACATTTTTGCCCGTGACCTTCGACGAACCCTGCAGGTTCTTCGTTTCCACGCCACAGTTGCCGTCACAAAAGAGATTATCAAAAGAGGCTAATAAGAGAGACATTGTATCGTTGACTTCGGTGCCCCATGCATTACACGAAGAAAAAGAATACCGTCACGCGGATCCGGTAGAGTCGAAAACCACTTTCAGCGAGTGCGAAGGAGAAAAACAAATATCGTTTCAGAAACGTGACATGAACAATTCGCATACGCAAAAAGAAAGCGATCGCGAAGCACCAAATTTATCACACACTCCCGCCTCGATGGACGACGTTTTCAAAAATCGGATACCAAAGATGGTGGCCAATCAGACTCTGACGCCTGCACAATCCCATATACAAAAAGCAGAGCAGAATTACTCTGAAAAGCAGGAAATTAGCGATTATTCTCCTGGCATCTTTACGGTAGAATACATTTATGGCTTTATAAAATGGATATAGAACAACGAAAAGTGCTGTCATCTGATGCTTTCTTTAAAACTTCACAGGAGGATCATCCTACCGAATGGGGGCAGACATTCGCACTTGGTGCGGTGCCTTGCTCGGAAAGCAATGCGATTTCACCATTGTCGGATTGTTCTTCCTGCACTCTCGAAGCAGAACCATACGAAATGAATATTCACTTTACCAAGCGGCTAAGCAAAGATTCAGAGCATCAGAATCACCCTGACGTACAACTAGATTTTCGCTATCTGAAATCTTGTGCTGACTTCATGCAAGAACTGGAAGCAGCTAGTGGCAAAAGATGTTCTGCTGAGCCGCCGTCCTCACAATGGCTCTCCACCGATAGTTCTGTCCGAGTTGCGCCTCGATTGCATCATTTTAAATCAGCGGTACGTTCTATCTGTACATAGAGTATTCGATGATCAGCATGTCCTTAGCAAACTTGTTAGTCTATGCATTCGTATTTTAGCGTCCGTCAAACTTGTACAATGAAAGCAGTGCCCCAGCGACCAGTCGAGCGCCCTCGGTTTCGGACGAAAACTGTTTAGAATCCCATGCGATTTCGGACGAAAATGGCATCGACTTCGAAGAGGGAGCAGAAAACGGGGCACAACAATCGCTGTTAATCCATTTACCCATAATGACACTTCTCGAGAAAAACGAACCTTCCGCCAAACTGTCATTCAATCAATCCAACGAAATGACTTCAACGTGCATATATTTTTACTGGAATCATAATCTGAAGCAATTCGGATTAGATAAACGTCGTGCCGCAGGAATATATGCAAAAATTGAGATGTTAGAGAAATGCATGAAAGGGATTTTAAACAGTGACTCCGCGGCATCTCGGAGCCGAATACAAGCGAACGATCTGTCCAGAAAAGTTATTGAAAATCTTTGTTTGTCGGGGGAATATCTTCAAATCTGGCCACGCAGTCATCCCGTCGAAGCAAGAAGCATCAAATTAATGGTTATCGTTCCAGATGTTTTGTGTGAGGGGATTTTTGAGGAAAATTTACGGGAAGGATTGTATTATCTGCGTAATATAATGCAGAGCAAAGATAAAGAAATTTTAATTATTTCTAGTAAATAAACCCCGCAGTGCTCCAATTTCGATCACTTCCTGCTACAGTAAAACCTGCCTCTTCGTAAACCTGGTAACCAAATACACATGGAAAGTAAATACGCTGGAAAGAGAACCGACGCATCCCGTAGACGGTAGACTATAACATAGGGGGGGATCATGTACAGTGTATACACCTTGCATAATAGGCTTA